ATTATGTTACATCATCAATTGATCTATTAGTTAGCACACTAATTAGTACATATTATTAATTGGTACATCATTATTTAAAAAATTATAATTGTTTGAAATAAAGAGAATTTAATAGGGTTGGTGTTGGTGATGAGGACGAGGTGGCCATAGCATAGCGATGTGGGGTAGGCGGGAGGTCGGTGGGTGGAAGCAGATAATGAGGGATTAAGGGAAGAGGAAGAGAGCAGAGAGAGAAGTAGTAGAAATCGAGTTTTGTAATTATTTTGCAACATTTTGTTCTTACGTTATTTGATTAAAAGATTTGTGAAAAAAATTAACAAAGAAAAAAATTATATAGGTAAAATATAAATAAAATTTGTTTTTATTTCTCTTTTTAAATTTTTTCTCAAAGCTCACGACCAAACAAAACGCTAATTTGATTAAAATTATTTTCCTATGATTTTGTACTTTTTATTTCTCAAGTAGTGTACTAAAAGTAGGAAAATATTCAAAAGAGTTTCATGGAACGCACATGATTTGGGATAATTTTTTTTTTTTTTTTTAAATACCTTTGTTGAATGAATTTTTTTTATTGAAGTAATGCACTAAGTCATACGAGAAGAAAAATTTTCAAGATAAATTTACAATTATTTGAAAGAATCTTTTTATCAAAGGAAATATTGAAAAGGGTTTCAAGAAATAATAAACTAATAAACACAAAATATAGAAAAATAAGTTTTTCAAGAACATATATTTTTCAGGAACTTTTAAAGATTGATATTTGAAATTAATCAAGATTATTTATTCAAATAGCAGTCATAGCACAGCTAAATACATATAATTAACATTTCATGAATTTTTAGATTAGAAAATTATTTTCCCTTTCTCAATTTTGAGATATATGATAAGAATATCTGTTAACACTATCATAAAATTTTATAGCTTTGATTAGAACTTGAGAAAAATTTGATATACTCAAATTAAATTCAGTCAGCATTTGAGTAAGAGATTGTCACAATCCAAACATTTTGCTTTTTTATTATTAATAATATATAACCCTAACATTAAACTTGTACTATGCTAAAAAACTTGGGGAAAAAAAAATCTCTAAAAATTGTTTAAGAACATAAATATTAGCTTGATTTATGTTCATTTTAGAATTTTAGAATTTTTTATTCATTTATATTGTAGATGACTTGAAGAATCATGTAGTTACTATTTTTAACCTATTTCCAATCATATTATTTGAAAAATATATCAGATTTTATAATTAAGAACTATATTTATTATATTATGTAATTAAAAATTAAGTATTGAACTTTTTTATTGTTAAACTTTTAGCATTGAAATATTTTCATACTAATCAATTAAAAACTAAAATTTTGAATATTGTCAGTTAAAAATCAAATTTCTTTAATATTTATAAATCATATATCCTTATTTTAAAATTAAAATTATTTAAACAATTTTAAAAATTAGGTAGTATGCGAATTTACCTTAATAAACACATTCAACTACAAAGACAAAGAATATTAAATAGAAAAATCAATCACGAAATAAATTTTTTTTTTAAGAAGGGTATTTATATACAATTAAATAAAAAATAAGAAAATTTAAAAATAAGTTAGGAAAGTTTGATATATTATATGTTTACTAAATGTTTCAAATTAAATTGCTTGTTATGCAATAATCTGGTTTCAATCACACAATAAATAACAACAAGAAGAACAATCACACACACACAAACACAAGATATACGTGATTTGATGGAGTTTGGCATTGCTGCTACGCGCCTTATTGGGCCCATTTTAGGGCCTAATTCAATAATCTGAACCGTTTACATTTTAAAAGGTATCGAGTAGAATATACCTGTAAAAAATCACGTCAATCGGATATCGTTATCTCTTTTATCAAATTACATTTGCATTGAGTTTTATATTTCAAATTACATTTATCTTTTTTTATAAAATACAAATGTGATTTGATGAAAAAGCCAACGATATCTGTTTGATGTGATTTTTTACAGGTATATTTTACACGATACCTTCTAAAATGTGAACAGTTCAGATTATCGAATTAGGCCCTGAAATGGGCCCAATAAGGCGCGTAACAGTTGCTGCTATGCACCCTACGCAGCAGCAACCCCAAACTGGGTTCGATGAGATTCCTTCGTCTAGGGCGGAGAAACAACCAAAATCCACTATATGCAATAAGGATTATAAATCACTCCGTAGCTCTCTAATCCTAAAACGTATAAACTGATCCAATTTATAGAGTAAAGACTAATGGGGTGAAACTAACATTACAGGTCCGTAAATGCCAATTTTGGCGCAATATTGACTCATTAGGATTGGGATATAGTGAATATAAGACATTTCACAACATCTCTTAAATGAAAAAATAAAATAAAATTGGTGTACTAAATATTTTTGTATCTCTATCATTTGAAGAAAAAGTTATGTGATTAGAAACGGGGTAGGAATAAGTGGAGAAAAACTTACCTTACACAACCTCATTCCACTTAGTGCACATTGCCTTGCACTCGTTCCTCCCCTAACTTGCCAGATCTCTTTACCACCTCCACCTATTGTAACAATGGTTTAACTTCTATCCCATCAACTTTATTCTATTAGCGTCATATTCAAACCATCCAGTTAGAAGATAACACGTGGAAAGCAAGGGGCATTATACAAAATACAAGAAATAGCGAAAGAGAAGGAGATCACGGTGAGAGAAATCAGTTTAATTGCTTTGAAGGCGCCAAAAGTAGATTATAAATAGATGAAGGCAAAGATTAAGAAAGCCCTCAACCAAATCTAGTTTCTATGTCTTCGTCAATTTTATTTATCTTTAAATTTCAACACTTTACTTTCTAGCACTTTACTTTTATGTACCGCACTTACATTTTATAAGAGTAGATTAACTCTATAATTCTAGAATTAGGTTGGTTTAAAGTTTCGAAATTGCCCTTACTAAAAGTAACATATTGTGATTATTTATTTAATTAATCAATTACGTTTTATGCTCAATTTCTCCCTCTCATTCTGCTACGAACTCAAGTTAAAAGTATTGGTTCATCTTTTAATACAACACAGAGAAAGTTCTCTTCATTGAGGCTAAGAGAATCTTAATGCAATCATCTAATAAATTTGACATTTATTATCTGTAAAAACTTTTCAAATCTTTACTGGCACGCTTTAATTACATTTCTAACATTCAAAGTGTCAAAAATAAACCAACAAATTCTTAACATTAAATCCCTATATTATAGTTTTATAACCTAAGATGATAAATGACTCATATGGATCACATCATACAAATTTATAAATTGATTGGCATTATATTGTGTTGATTTATAGTGAGATCATTGAGTACAGAAGGAGAGAGAATATGTATAGCATATAAAGAACATAAAATTGAAAAGAAAAGGAAGGAAAAAAAAAAAAAAAAACTTTAACTATCATTTTATATGATCAACTGTTAATATGATATCTATGTTATCTATCTATAAATTAGGGGTAATTTTGTAATACTATACAAAATTAGGTTGGGTCACCTCTTCCCCACTCCTCACCCCAAATCCAATGAAGTTCTTCATTTTTATTCTCAAATCTTTCCTTGTTTAATAAAATCACCAAATCCAGTCTCATTCAGGTTGATGATCACTCAGATTAAGATTTTGTCTAGCTCAACTAGTAAGTGATCAATATTCTTGATTATTATCTTTTTCTTTTAATTTTTTTTAAAAAATAAAATAATATAAGCTTTTATAAAATTTCTGGTAACTTTGAAGAATGATTGCTTCATTGGCATAATGATTATTAGTGTATAAAGGTGACAATTTTTAATGAAAAATTAAAATAAATTTAACATACAAAAACATGGGCAATATTTTATGAATTGTTAACATCATTTGAATATAGTATTTTCATATGGAAAAGTATTAAATTTCAAGGGGTGAAATACAAAATGAAAAATTATAGAGAAATTTGAATTAATTAGTTAAATTATAAAATTGACAAGATCGTGTCAATTTTTTGTCATAATACTGGAGTCAATTAAAATATAATATATGATTATACAATTCGAATGGATCAATAATTTCTGAATTAACAGTCGAATGAATGAATGATAATCACACGGTGTCAATTAAAACATAATATATGGTTATACAATTCGAATGATTAATAATTTCAAAACTAACTGTCGAATGAATGATAATCACATCTAATCAAGTCTTTCCAAACAAACATTTCTAGGAACGGACTATAATATCTAAAATAGAAAGTCAAAGTAAAATTTTAATAAAAAAAGTATAAAGGTGCTTACTGCAATTAACTCAAAATTTAGTAATAATGCATTATTACTGGAAGCTTTCAGTTTTTGAGAAATGTAATAGAAATAAGGGAAATGATTTGGAGCCCTAAAAACTTCCCTCCTAATCCCCCTAATTTCCAATATTGGCAGCTTTTTCCTTTATTTTTTTTTTTTTACTTGATATGGAAATTAGGGGGATTAGGGGGGATGTTTTTAGGGGGATATAGCATGACCCTAGAAATAAATAGGGTAAATTATAAATATATTCTCTAAGATTTTATTAAAATATGAATCGTTTTATGTGATTTTGAAAATTATATTTTACCTTCTGAGATTTTTAAGTTCATAACAAATTATCCCTTTTATCAATAAATCATTAAGTCAATTAATAATTTTTAATGATATTAAAAATATGTTTTAATTAATAATTTAGGTAATTTTATTATTTTATAGGAGAATAATTATGAATTTTATTTTTTCAGTTAATTTTGTTAAATAAAAAATTCTAATTAGAGGATATTTGTAATTTTTTAAACTATAGAGGTCAATCTGTATTTTAAATAAATCTTAAGGGGTGTATTTGTAATTTATCCAAATAAAGAAAGGTGCCGTAAAGGAATTAGAAGAAAAGTCGTGGGGCGATTTGAAAATAAATAAAATAACAAGGACTAAAACTAAAATATCGAGCCCACTGTTTCAGTGATATTCTATTGTATTCTGTCAAAACTACTCATTCTGTTCCATCTCGAACTCGGCGATTCTCGAAGCTCAACAAATCGATCTATCGATCAATTCATTGCTCGTCCTCGATTTTGATCCATGGACTCCGAAGCTGAATTCGCCGATCACACTCCGTCATTCGATCGTGTGGTACGCTTTCACAGATTGCAAAATTTCTGTCTCAATTTTTATCTATTTGATTTGCCAGATCTATTTGGTTTGAGCTAGATTTGAAGTCTATGGTTTATTATATGTGTGGATCTGCACTCACTACGATCTGTTGTTTTTTTTTGTTCTTTCAATTTGATTTGAGCGAATTCGATTTGTTTTTTCATTTTCTTCTTTGTTTTGGTTGATAATTATGAAGTGTGATTTAGAACCTGTTTGGCTGAAACATGAAATGCAAATTAGTAAAACCAGAAATACAATTAGCACTTTACGGTTCTTACAAATGGAGGAATTGGAGAAACCGAGAGTTTTATTATTCAACGACTTGAGATTTCAATTCTGTGATTACGTTACATATCTCTTTATTGTACTTGTTCTACTAATCGCCATCAGAAACTACCTTTTCTAATGTACGCCCTTGGATCAGGGGTTGTCATTTCCAAGGGTCGGAATTTTTGACATGAAATGTTTGAATGAAATGAACCAAACACGAAATTAGCGGGTTAGGATTAGCTAGTTTTCAAGACTAACCAAAAGTGACACGGAATGATGATGCGGGAAAAAAACATTTTGGTTTAACGTCGATGCTGTGTAATTTGAATTTGACATGATAACCCATTTGATGAAGGATTAGTTATACATTTTACCCTTATTTCTATTAAAGGATGTCACATGACATGTTTGAGTCCTTGTGTAGCCCTGTTCAATTGAATTAAAAAATATTAGATAAAATCCATTTTATCCCTTTGTGGTATGTCTGGGTAGCATTTTATACTCCCTGTCTTTTAAAAATAGGCAAATAATGTTTACATAGTTTTGGACTAAAGTGCCACTATGCCATATGTGATTGTTAGAGAGTAAGGAAGAAATTTTTTAGTCAGAGTCAAATTTTTAGCTGTAAATATAAAATTACGCTTCTCTTCATCTTTTACCTTTAAACCTTAACCACTCTAACCTTAACTCTAACCTACCCACCCACCCCCTCCAGCCACCACCACCACCACCCTAACACCAAACCCATTATTAGTGATGGAGAAACTATACAGACATCAAATCCACACCCCCAAATAGATTGGACAAACTTTCATTGGCCTGTTTATCAATTCATTTGTCTCATTGGAATCTTTCTTTCTTTCTTTCTTTCTTCTTCTTCTTCTCTCTCTCTCTCTTTTTTTTTTTTGGGGGTAATTTGGTAATTATGGTATCAAGAGATGCATTCATTTTCAATAATACAGAGGTTGTCTCTCCAATCCTTAACTGCTGGTGGTGATATAATGATGTTGAAAAATTGATTTGGACATATCTGCGAAGAAGGGTGAATAAGTGGGAGGTTTGTTTTAATTTTTGTTGTTTTTTTTCCCTCTTCCTTTTTAAGTTGTCGTAGTGTGGGTGATATTCTCTTTTGAGGGTTACTTTACATAGCTTGTAAGGACACCAATCTTTCTATGTGCAGTAATGGCTTCAATTTTTCCATTATTGAAATATTTCCTTTTGCTGCTAAAGAAGAAGGCCTGTGTATATGTATACATAGACAGGCTTTTATAAAGAACAATTTAGCTTCTTAATTTATATGAATTAGACCATTACCATATATATATATATATATTATATACATATACAGTTGTGGTTTTATATATGAGATGGTTGTAAATGATATGTGTAGGATATACATATACATACAGTGGTTGTTATATATACCATGGTTTTTTTAGAATGAGATGGATGTATTTTTTGGTGGTGGTAGTTACAATAATGATGATGGTTGTAGTTTCCATTAACTGGGAAAGGGATGGAGGAAGATAGTGTTACAATGAGGAGGCTAGATAAGTCTTTTTTCATTTTTCATTAATAAAGTTAACAGTGCAAACCACAAGGGGTTATGCCCCTATTTGTAAAAGACAGGGTTTAAAGTGCTTTGGGCCAATATCAAAGGGGGTAAAGTGGATTTTGCCCAAAAATATATAAAATAGGATTTTGGAGTCAATAGTCTTTTTTATTTCTCATTGGAGACGACATGATCTTTTTGTTTACTATTTTGGAGTCAGTCTAGTAAAAAAAAAATAGAGTTCAATTTCTTGAAATTTGTTAAATATAATTAAGTTCAAATTAAGCATTTTTATAAATAATTTCATCCCATAGGGATATGTTTTTTTAAAAAAAATTAATATCTCCGTACACTTGGTATTTTTAACTTGGGGTAGAAATTTTTGACATGAACACAATACGAATAGGACACTAGTAAACCAGTAGCATTAGTATTGAGACAATTTTAACACAAACATGACCCACACGACACCATTCGCACCTGTAATTATTTCTATTTGTTTTATCCAAAACAAACAATTGAATCACATCTGCTATAACCACGGATTAAGGTTATTAAAACGACAATCTTTTACACTTCTCTTCTAAGTTGTACGACAACGTTTGATTCTTCTTCAGGCGACACCTTCTATTGTTTCCCCTATGACTTCTTCATTCTGTTATTCCCTCCATTTTCTGATACATGTTCCATTGCTAAGCTTGTAACAAATTGAAGGCCAAGAAATATTAAAAAAGTTCAGATTTTCAATATCTTGATTAAGCATATGCAGGGAAAGATCGGTGATGATGCTATGTTTTGGAATCTAGAAAGGGAAAAACAAGTTAGATAGCATTGGAAAATGTTATTGTTGGAATAAGTTAATTAAGAGGTCAGCAAAGTCAGAAGCAATTGTAGTGAGACTTTTTTTCTCAACGCCCAAGCCAATGTAGGGCTAGGCCCAGCATTTGTGTCATGCCCCAAAATATAATACAATAATTCATCCACCAAGCATTATATGCCAACAACAATAATAATGTTATCTTCCATTAATTCAATATGATATACAAAAGAGAAGCATATGTATAATCTATAGCATATGTTTCCAATCAAAAGAGAGGAAGAAAGATAAACAGAACTTTTCAAGATGATACTTGGTTACAACAAAAAGAGTAAGATGCTCAATATAGATAAAGCTCTAGGTTTGTACAAAAGGCAAATAAATACAAATAAACAAAAGTAAGCTCTCAGCTTCACAATCCTCCCAAGCTAAGTCCTGGATGGAGGCATATCACCAGCAACTGAAAATGTTTTTTCCAAGTAAGGTGAGTCACAACTTAGCAGGAATAATCTAATACAGTATATAAGATTTAACAACGGTTTAAAGGCAATGCGCTTTTACAATACCGGAAGTAAAATGTTTGCATTTTATATTGTCAAAGAACACCAAATTACATTTCATTTCATTTCCCTTCAATCCATTCTAATACATGAGTCGATTTCATTATTTCTCAACAACCAAACTGAGGTTACAATTCAGTGGTTTTCAAATCATACAACACATACAAGTGAACACTTCAAACTTTCATTTCACGGATATTTCATTCGCGGGCAGTCGTCAAACGGGACCCATGTAAACCTAGGTTATACAAGCGCTATCATTGCCATTTTATGGATATTCCGTCTGCGGGCTAGACACCCATGTATAATTTCGGGACTTTCACCTAGGACAATCCGGCTAACGTAATTATAATGGAGTCCATCCCCTTTTTGGGGTAGAAATTTTTGACATGAACACAATACGAATAGGACACTAGTAAACCAGTAGCATTAGTATTGAGACAATTTTAACACAAACACGAGATGACACAAACATGACCCACACGACACCATTCGCACCTGTAATTATTTCTATTTGTTTTATCCAAAACAAACAATTGAATCACATCTGCTATAACCACGGATTAAGGTTATTAAAACGACAGTCTTTTACACTTCTCTTCTAAGTTGTACGACAACGTTTGGTTCTTCTTCAGGCGACACCTTCTATTGTTTCCCCTATGACTTCTTCATTCTGTTATTCCCTCCATTTTCTGATACATGTTCCATTGCTATGCTTGTAACAAATTGAAGGCCAAGAAATATTAAAAAAGTTCAGATTTTCAATATCTTGATTAAGCATATGCAGGGAAAGATCGGTGATGATGCTATGTTTTGGAATCTAGAAAGGGAAAAACAAGTTAGATAGCATTGGAAAATGTTATTGTTGGCATTAGAATAAGTTAATTAAGAGGTCAGCAAAGTCAGAAGCAATTGTAGTGAGACTTTTTTTCTCAACGCCCAAGCCAATGTAGGGCTAGGCCCAGCATTTGTGTCATGCCCCAAAATATAATACAATAATTCATCCACCAAGCATTATATGCCAACAACAATAATAATGTTATCTTCCATTAATTCAATATGATATACAAAAAAGAAGCATATGTATAATCTATAGCATATGTTTCCAATCAAAAGAGAGGAAGAAAGATAAACAAATAAACATGATCTACTGGCTTACAACTTTTCAAGACGATGCTTGGTTACAACAAAAAGAGTCAGATGCTCTATATAGATAAAGCCTTAGGTTTGTACAAAAGGCAAATAAATACAAATAAACAAAAGTAAGCTCTCAGCTTCACAATCCTCCCAAGCTAAGTCCTGGATGGAGGCATATCACCAGCAACTGAAAATGTTTTTTCCAAGTAAGGTGAGTCACAACTTAGCAGGAATAATCTAATACAGTATATAAGATTTAACAACGGTTTAAAGGCAATGCGCTTTTACAATACCGGAAGTAAAATGGTTGCATTTTATATTGTCAAAGAACACCAAATTACATTTCATTTCATTTCCCTTCAATCCATTCTAATACATTAGTCGATTTCATTATTTCTCAACAACCAAACTGAGGTTACAATTCAATGGTTTTCAAATCATGCAACACATACAAGTGAACACTTCAAACTTTCATTTCACGGATATTTCATTAGCGGGCAGTCGTTAAACGGGACCCATGTAAACCTAGGTTATACAAGCGCTATCATTGCCATTTTATGGATATTCCGTCTGCGGGCTAGACACCCATGTATAATTTCGGGACTTTCACCTAGGACAATCCGGCTAACGTAATTATAATGGAGTCCATCCCCTTTTTCCTCCCAAATAATCATTCATACATATACAATGTATATAACACATAATCACACATGAAGTACATCTCTTTTCTCTTCCCAAATAATTATACATATACAATGTATATAAATATAGTCATATGCAATGACAACCAACAAAAGATTAATTTCAATTTACCTAGTCCACATGCAATTTCTACAACAATCATGGTTCTCTTCCACCGATAGCCCCAAACAAATATTTCTAAGCAGTTATACAAACTTCACAATATATAAACTATTCACATGTCCATTGATAAGAAATAGCAATTTTCCAACTCCACCATTAACATACACATCTAACCAATTTCACCTTTATTGAACCAATTCCATGATTTATACAAAATAACCATTTGAAACATTTTAGGGCAACACCCCATTTCCTTCCAAGTACAACCCGTTTGCCAAAATCAACAAGTTTGATACAACCCAACCTCATATGCATACCCATAGACATTTCAACACCTTTACTTTAAAAACCCCTCTTTTTTATTTTAAACCAAAACCCTAGATTTGTCTAAAATCACCCAAATCCCAACCTTTGTTTGCAATATCATCAAATTCTCAAGTTAAAAATTATACAAGAGTATAGAAAGTCCCTTCCTCAAGCTTAGAAGAGGGAGAAGGAAGAAAAGCCCCAAGGTCGATGGAGGAGAAACGACATTTTGCTCCTATCAAAATGAAGCCCTCGACAAGCTCTACAATTAATCTCAAAGGAGCAAGGCGAGGAGAGGTCTCCAAGTAAGTAGATCTAAGGATCTTTGAGTGAAAAAGTGCTTTTTGAGAGAAAGAGAGTGTTTCACGGTTTAGAGGGAGAAAGGAGAAGGAAAAGTAAAGTAAAGATCAAGTGGTGGACCTATTTATAGTACTATGTCAAAATAAAAATAAACCCCAAAGTCAACCCAAAAGATTTGGTCAAAATCCCCAAAAAGTAGGGCCCAAGCTGACTAAAAATTTGGAAAAAAATTCGCTAGTGTCGACCCCTGCAATAGAGGTGTCGACCCTTATGAAGAAAAGCTGGAACACTTATGTTTGATAGCAAGCAAGGTGTCGACCATTTCCAGACTGATGTAGACACCAAAATTCAGCAAGCAATTTCAAGACAAGGTTCGACCCTTCACAGACTGATGTCGACCCTTGAGACCAATAACAAAAGGAAGGTGGAATAAGATTTTTAGGTTCTCAAACAATTTTTCAACGTAAACAAGCGTAAACAAGCAATTCCCAACTAGTTTAAATCAATTTATGCTCCTCCAAAATTAAGACACAACAACCCAAAGATTCCCAAAATAAGATAAAGGATTCAAATACACTGCCCAAAAGCTTTGAAGCACACAAGTGCTACAATTTGTGTGGAGGCCTGTCATTTTAAAATTTTGGAAATGAACTTTTGTGGGTTGAATAAGTCATTTTTCTGTCTTTTGATATATAATATTTTGCCTTATTATAATTTTTAACTTTTGTTAAGAATAATTTCTACCTAGTCCTGTAATTGGGCAACTGGCAGTTGACATTTGATATTTCTTCTTCTTAACACTTTGTCAGGAGCAGCAGGACTTAAACATTTGATCTCTGATGGATGACATGACTAACTACTCATGAATTTATACGCTTGAAAGTTTCATGGTCTGAGCAACTGATATCTGACACTAGTTTTTTACTTTCTCCTTTTATTTAAAAAGAAAAAAAAAAGGAGAAATTTGCTGTCAACACTTTGATAAATATGTCTTCACCTAAATCGTCTTATGTGTTGAGTAATTCATGATAACCTAGCTCAAATCAATTAGCTTTGAGCTCCTAGCTTAGGAATACTTGTTCACTGGATTGCTATTTTCAGATGGACAATTGTGATGAGCCCAATTACTTCAACAGGTATTGTGGAGGTTGTGGTCCACCAAAATGTTACGGAATACATGGAATCCTTTTGATTTAAAAACTACATCTTAAGAATTTCATCCTATAATTGTAGAAAAATGTTTGAACATAAATGCTCTAGATGTTTTTCAGTTACAAACTTTATGTCACTGCTTAGCTCATGCTTTGCTGTGGATCATCATCAATAATGATCTGCACGTAAGGAAAAGAGCCTCTTGGAGTGTGGTGCAATTTATCTCCGGGTGTTGAATTCTAACATACATGAATACTTAAAATCATTCTGTTTCATGCTGTTTAGAAAGTTCATTTGTTGGTAATGCATTTTGTTGGGAGGAATTTTCTGTTATTGATAAACTGAGAAGTTGTTTATGTAGTGGAAGTCAATCTTAGGTTTTGTCCACGTGGACCAAACTTATTTAAATATATATATATATATATATATTAGAATTGTCTTATATGTTGAGTAATTCATGACAACCTAGCTCAAATCAATTAGCTTTGAGCTCCTACCTTAGGAGTACTTGTTCACTTGATTGCTTTTTTCAGATGGACAATTGTGATGAGCCCAATTACTTCAACAGGTATTGTGGAGGTTGTGGTCCACCAAAATGTTACGGAATACATGGAATCCTTTTGATTGAAAAACTACATCTTAAGAATGTCATCCTATAATTTTAGAAAAATGTTTGAACATAAATGCTATAGACGTTTTGCAGTTACAAACTTTATGTCACTGCTTAGCTCATGCTTTGCTGTGGATCATCATCAATAATGATCTGCACGTAAGGAAAAGAGCCTCTTGGAGTGTTGTGCAATTTATCTCCGGGTGTCGAATTCTGACATGACATGAATACTTAAAATCCTTCTGTTTCAAGCTGTTTAGAAAGTTCATTTATTGGTAATGCATTTTGTTGGGAGGAATTTTCTGTTATTGGTAAACTGAGAAGATGTTTATGTAGTGGAAGTCAATCTTAGGTTTTGTCCACGTGGACCAAACTTATTTAAATATATATATATTAGATATCTTGTAGTCAGAGGTTCAGTTCCACACTGCCTAATCACTCTTCAATAGACTGTACTGCAAGTAGTGATTTTGCAGATAGTTATTTGCTTAAACGTGCTTTGGTCGTTGATATTCTTATTCGCATATAATTGTTTAAAGAAACATACCAAGTACAAAGTTAAATAGTAGTTGCATGAATTTTCTTGTGTTTCTCAGTTTTATTGTTTGGAACAATGAGTTGTTGGAAGGTATACGAATTAATATTTTCTCATCCAATTTATTGAACAGAAAGATGTGATCAAGGATACTGAGGTCAAAGGGTTCAACCCAGGATTGATAGTCTTGCTTCTTGTTGGTGGCCTACTATTAACGTTCCTCATTGGAAATTATGTACTTTACATTTATGCACAAAAGACTCTTCCTCCAAAGAAAAAGAAGCCAATCTCCAAGAAGAAGATGAGGAAGGAGAGACTGAAGCAAGGTGTTTCAGCACCTGGGGAATAGACATTTTCGGCAATATGTAATGTTTCCGCTGATTTAGGCTGAGTTGTGTTCAAATATCACCCTCCTTGTCTGGTACCATTTGTTGAGAGATGCTTGCACTTTTCCTAGTGTTTTTCTTTCATTTTCCCCTCTTCAGATTGGATAGAAGTTTAGCTTAATAATTAGAGATTACTTCCAAAATGATACTTGTGTAAAAGTGCTGTTTGTTCTGGGTGATATTCTCCTGGTTTTCTTTTTTTGTTAGGTAGGGTTATTGCCAAAATTGTGGTTGCTTTTATAACCCATTTAAATCAGCTGATTATAATTCTTCGACTTGAATACCTTTGATGTTCCCAACTTGTGGTGAATGATGGCTGATTTTTACTCTACAAAATGACTGATTTTTATTGCTATTATTATTGTTTTAAGAGGGAAATGGAGAGCTTGAAAAGAGCGCCTTCATTTTACATGCCTCTTGCATCTTTTTGCTGCATGACTTTGCATACACTTCACCAGGTTTCGTGCATCGTTCTTCCCCGGACAGATTAAAACTCGAGAAGAAGACTGGCATGGCACATGACAGGTTTATATGTTTAGTGGGACATATTTTGATGATAAGCCACTGAATGAATGGTTCTATGCTTTTCTTCCCATTAGTTTTGTGACTTCACATTGAGGTTGACAAAGATATGCAATAATTGCTATAACAGCAATGCTAGGTAGTTCAAAATTTTGTAACTTAAATGAGTCAAATCATTTAAAACGATGTCGTTTTGAGTGTAAAACGACGTTATTTTGATAGATTTGAGTCATTTGAGCCACAAAATTTTAAGCTACCAAACATTTTCCTTGCTATAAATATCTATCGATAAAAAGGGGTCAGGTATGGAGACGCCAATTTCATTCTTTTCTGTATCCCAGAAAAAACAAATGAACAAAACAAATCATTAAAAAGTAGAGATGCAAGATATATATATTTATTTTATTTATTTATTTATTTTTTATGGGCATGAAATACGAAAGATAGTGGCTTTGTTTGGTGTAGTTTATGAAGTTATTTATTATTTTATTTTATTTTATTTTAAAAAAATGTGTCTGAGTATGTTGTAAATTTTGCTTACAGTTTATAACGTAAAAAATAAATTAAATAAATTTTAAAAAAGTGATTACTGAGAAATAGGGAAATGGTCAATTTTAACTTTGTTTTGCGATTATCAACTGTCAACTTGTAAGAAATTGTATCAAACAAGTCTTTAATATCCTCTATTTTATTATATAATAAATTGTACAACTCAATTTGATGTGAATCTTGTCAAATTTATTTTTTTTCCTATTTCTGAATTGTCCCTATACAATTGTGTCATTTTGATTTCAAATTTCCAAATTTTAATAATTTTTCCCATTTTATTTTTCCTCCATTAATTGATGTCCCGCATATGTGTGCAAACAATCTTGTGTAATATAATTTTAATTGTAGAATAGGGCATTAACTTTTAGAACAATTATGCGCAAGTCCTATGAATGAAACTTTAATTATTAAAAGGAAAATGTTTGGTGGCCACAAATTTTGTGGCTCAAATGGTCTGAAAATGCCAAAACGATATCGTTTTGGCATTTTCAGAGTTGTTTTGTATCCAAAACGACATCGTTTTGACATTTTCGAGTCATTTGAGCTACAGAATAATGATAAATTTATTACAGTAAAAATATTTTTAAAAAATATAATTTAACTACTTACACTTCTTACCAGGGGCGGAGCCACCTAAGACCTAGGGGTGTCACGTGTCCCTCCTAAACTTTCAATATTTATGTTGTTACCCATATAGATTAAGATTATGTATTATGTATCCTTTATAAAATTATAATAGTGACCCTCCTTAAATTATGTAAAACTGTTTGCTTTTTAAAATTTTTTAAAATTTTCTATTTTATTATTTTGATTATTCTTGGACATTTTTAATTAATAGGTTAAGGTAAAAATTGAATCAATTGATAATTCATTTCTTATCATGGGATTTGTTTTGTTGCTTATTTCTCCTCATTGTGGAGCATTTTTTTTTTTTAAGTTGATAGGAATGAACTTATTGATTATTTGGTTAATGAAATTTAGTTATTGATTGTGAATTTATAAGTCACCTTAATGAAAATATAAGGATAATTGCAATAAAAATAAAAATAAAAATGTATAAGTTTAATAATATCTCATTGTTACTTGTTATGGGAGAAGAAAAAAAAAAAAAACTAATGTTGTGATTAATGCGTATCCCCTCTACATTGAATTTCTGGCTCCGCTACTGCTTCTTACATTACTAGTGGAGGTGTACGTGCGTTATACGTAGTAATTTATTTTTATATTTCTTTGTGTGTGTGTGTGTTCTTTTCTTTTCGTTTTTTTTTTTTTTTTTTTTTTTTTTTTTTTTTTTGAGGTTTTGTAATAATTTTACCTTTTGAACCATTTTGTTATTTATTTTTATTTTTTTTGTTAATGTTTAATGTTTATGTATAAAAGTCTAAAAAGTTAAGTGTTGAATCTTTGAATATTTGATCATTGATATATTTTCACACTTTTAGGTAGTGTTTAGTTAAATAAAATGGTTGTAGAATGAAATTAATATTACTACACAATATATAATAATTTTTTTTTATTTAAATTACACACATCGCGCATGTGAACGGCTAGAATGAATAACATGAACCACGTAGATTTATGTATAGTAATTTTCACGTAGGCGTTGCTTGTGTGGTGGTATTTAAACTATGGATAGAACTCTGTGTCGATTCTATGGAGTAGTGCATTGTTTGGTTGAAAATTGGTTGTAACAACCCCGACACATGATTAACGTTAACACGTGCTTAATTATGCTTAATAAGTAATTAAGATGAAATCTTGAGTTAATTACATGTGCATTGCTTTATTTGAGTTTATATCTGTCTGCAGTAGAAATATCTATTTGTGTTTCTGTTTTGTTCTGTGAATTGAAAGCCTTATCGGCATCCGACCATGAAATTGACTTGGTATATATGTTAGTTGGAGAACATTGTGGTAGGTTTAATTGAAATTCGATCCGGAACGACATAATTAGAATAATTAATACTCATTGGATTAGTGGCTTAATTAATTAATTCTCTTAACCAAGCCTATAAAAGGCTTATTTACCACTTTGAGTCACCTTCTACTCATCATTTGAGCCTATACAACGAGAAAGAGAAGAAGAAAGAGACCAAGAGTGAGAGTTTGATGTCAACACTTGAGTTTGGGAAGAATTTGCTAGAAATTGAAGGAATTGGACTTAGAGACACAAGAATCAAGCTTCTAGCTCTCACCTTGACAAGCCTAGGTAAGAATTCAACCCTTAGATTGTACAATCATGTTGTGTAAAACATGAACTCTAAAGAATTAAGTTGGATGACACAAGAATTAAGTTAAAATTGATGGAATTAAGCCACATCTTGCATGCATGCATAATTCTCATGATTTTGTAGTTGAATTCAAAGAAATCCCCTTGCATGTCCTTATTTTAGTCTTGTCCTAAGAATTCAACAAGTTTTTGAGTTAAACACCTCATGTGAACAAGTTTTGAAAGCTTTGAAACCAAGATATTTCATGCATGTTATGTTTTCAAAGATTTGAGTTTGATTTTGCACAACTGGCAACACTTTTGGACTTGATTTTGTGAAATGATTTTGAATTCATGACATTTGTCAAGTTTATACAAGTTTCCTTAAGTTTTTGGCCCAAAATATCATAAATTTCAACTTTGAATTCAAGTTTTGCACTTGGTAGAGCAATTTGCCTCTCCGTTCGAGCGATAGATCCTGCGCTCGAGCGACCACTCTGTGATCTTGCACTTCCACTCGAGCGTCCAAACGTTCGCTCGAGCGTGAAATGCAAACTCCCAGAAGTTTCTTGTTTTTGCAAACCGCTCAAGCGACAAGAATTGCGCTTGAGTGAGGACTTGAGTCTCATGCTCGAGCGATTGTCGAGCGTCCGTCGAGCGTGAAAATCACACGACCAATACTTTTGAAGAAGTTTGCAGACCGCTTGAGCGAAGGAAGTTGCGCTCAAGCGACCACTCACATATTCGAATGTCCGCTCGAGCGGGACCCCTGTTTTCAACAATTTTTGTTAAGTGCTTCCAAGTACATTTTAGTATTCTTATTGCATCCTAGGCATTCCTAAGCCAAGGTTAAGACATAATAACGAGGATAAGAAGTGGAAATATACCAAGATAAGAAATGATTAAGTTAATGATTCTGAGTGTGTAATTCAGTATGTATTCATTCTGTAACTATGTAGGTCACGCGTCACAAGACACCTGAGTTGCCTAGTCTGTCTGTATGCTTTGGAGCCAACTGTGAGTAATAACTTAGTAAAGTTATGTTCAACTTTATTTATTTTTTGTATGATGAAATAAGATCTATTTTCTAAAATGTTATGTTCTGTACAATAAATGATTGTCCAAATTCTGACATGTATTCGTGGCATCTTTAGCATCATGTGATATCTGTTAGTTGTTACCTGGTATTGGAGGTTCCATTATGGAACTTATTATGTTCTGTCATTTGTTACCCGTACCGGAGGCTCCATCACGGGGCTCAGCTTATCTGTTATCAATTATCCAGATTCGGAGGTTCCTTTGTGGAATTGGTTATTCATAACCACCATATGTTCTGCATTTGTTCTGTATCTGTTCTGTTAGCACTATAGGATGTACCACGTATGATTAAGCATGAACTCTGATTTTTGTATATGACTTGAACAAGAACAAGAATATGCATATGAATCTGAATTCTAATTTCTGAATCTGGTACAGACATCATTCATTAAAACCCTTTACTCTGTTATTATTCATTGGGCTCCTGCTCACTATTTATATTATGTATGTAGGCGAGCAAATGCGTGACCAGGTCTAAGCTGCTGCTTGGAAGTTTTGGAATCAGCTAGTCCCTGTACCTCTCGGAGAGGTTCCCGTGTATAGAAGTCAAATTTGTGGACCGTGTCAAGTGTAATGACCCAATTTTTTTTTTTTTTTTAAATAGCCAGCACATAACTTAATTGAGCAAAATTTCGAATTTGATTATCATGTAAATTCTGTGTGAAAACAGTTCAATTTTCTATTTTTTTAAAAATAGTTTCTGACCTCAGAAAATTATGAAATTTTTATATGTTGTTCCTATATGAGTTTAGCACGTTGAATAAAAATTTCAGAATTTAATGATTAGTATTTATTTTATAAAAATTCACGGACTGATTGGTATTCAGTTTAATTTATAGCAGAATTTAAAATTGAGTTTTGGGTGTTCGGACCATGATTTGAAATAAATCAATTGGGGATTTATT